AAGAGTGTGAGAAAAATCACTCCATAATCTTACTATGGTTTCAAGTTTGGTTTCCTACGTATCATTTTAATACAGTTGCAATCCTTTCACATAACACATGCCAAGCATTTTTCCATATTATCACAAAACTTGAAAAACCATCATTTAAAATGTCTGTATGATATTTTACTAGCAGGTATTATATAGTTACACAGTTTATCTCAACATTCTCCTGCTTTTAGCCACTTTGGTGACATTTTCTTTTAAAAGCAAAATTTCAGGATCCATAGTAATAATTAGCTGTAAGTCATTCAGTTAACTTACTGGCTTCTGTGGTTAAATATTGTTTTTCATTGCTCCACTTGCTCCATTTCCAGAAGGGGTCAGTACAACAACGAATCCGAAAAGTATATATAGTATATGGATTTAACTTATCCACAGCAGCAAGATAACTTGAATTTTCTATTCCTTTCATTGTGACATTCCGCTATTAGAAACAAATATATATATTACATATATAATATCACATGTATATGAATACATACATACACTCATATACTTTTTTAGAAGAAAGCCTCCCAAATTCGTAACATAAATTGACTGAATGTCATAAGAGTTTACCTCTATAAAACCAAAGACAGTTCATCCACTATATTTTAATTTTATATAAATGCCAAATCAGTGAAATTATGTTCTGCGACAGCAATAAATAAAATTGAGGTATCTTTTTAGTCCAAATGTTGGATCTAAGTAATAATGGTCAATTAATTATGCAGAGATGATATTAGGTCAATGGTTAATGGTAATGCAATATACCTTAATGTAACTTAGTAATCTAAGATGACCCTGAGGATTAAATACACTATTCAGATGATATTTGGAAACTGACTGGAGGCAGGCATCATCTTATGCATCTTTTTTTATATGGCACTTAGAACCTCTAGTGTGGTGCTAAACATGTAGACTATTCAATATTTAAACTAAATAAATTAAGATGAAGCAATTCTAAACAAATCTGAGGATTCACATGCCTCAGCAAAGTCTCTGAGTTCCCAATTACTTATTGCAAAGAAGCTTTCCGGGTTACGTTTTGCAGTTTGACTGATTTTCTAGAAATTATCAGTAAGTTTCCAAGTGACTATTTAAGTACATCATTTATTTTGGACCTACCCCAAATTACAAGATGGTGCAGCATAAAAGTCAACCTAAGTATGTAAAATGTACTAAAAAGCCGTGTTTTGACTTAAAACGCCCAATTATAACTTGCTCCTATTGCTGCACTTAACAGTTTTAAAAATCACATCTTCTCTTTGGTGCCGATTAGTCCATTAACTAACACCAACGGTTACAGCAAAAACTACTAATTCATTCACAAATTTATTGAGCACCAGTTACATGCCAGGTACTACACTAGACCTGGAAATATTCTGAGTAGTAAAAGTCAAACTTACGTTCTATAATATCCGGTATTATAACTGTTTTTAAGTGCTAGATATAATGCTGTTATGATATTGATATATAATGTCTTCACACTTAGTAAAGCTCTATAATAAGTAATCTGAGCGCTTGTGCATACCAATTTACTTAATTCTTTTTGAAAACTAAGTAGTTTATCCAAAATAACCTCAAAGGAAGTTTATAGAAGAATCTTACTCACCAATTCATGTACTGAGTTAGTTTTATTAATTTCAATTTGACATAACAGTTTAATCTTTGCAAAGCTGCCCGGTAAATGCCAGGAAAGTGTAACAGCTGTTGAACTGACATCCTTCACTTTGATTGAAGTAGGAATATGGGGATGAACTGTAAATACAATTTTCAAAGATTACTTTGAAAGCTCTTTCCTAATATGACAAATGAGAGTCAAAGAAAACAAAAAACAGAAGAGATGTCATCAGTGCTGATCAACAATGTTCCACTCACTGTTGTGTGGAATACAAATCTCACCTTTACTGCTGACACCAGGCCAGCATTGTTTAAGAACCATCCACACTCAAGGTTTCTCAGTTGGCAACAGAAATACTAAAAGGTAGTAAGTCAGTCTCTACCTTTAAGGAACCCCTCATTTACTTGGGGACTGACAAACAGAAAGAAGGAAAATCAACAAGAGTATATACATTAAGTCCTAAATATGTGGTACAGATATTCACTGCTACAGGAATTTAGATGTAAGTGCAGATGTACAGTGAAGATAGGACTTAAGATGAGCTTTGAAGGATGAATCAGAATGAAACTGGCAAAACAGTTGCAGAAAATCATTTCAGGCTGGGGTCTTGGCAAGAACAAAGGTACAGTGAAGCAAACTGCACATTACACTGGTGATAGTGCATACACCAAATTGAGTGATGGGAAAGAATCACGTGGAAGATATGGCTGAAATGGCAGAGGGCAGAAAAAAAAATATAAAACTGCCATGCAAGTATAAGATGTAGCTTTTGTGACCTTATGGAAAAAAATCAACATAACAAAGATATGAGAAGGAATAATTGACAAAAGTGACTTATATTCACAAGTAAGGCAACCTTACGCCCCTGACTGTCTCTAAGAGAAGGCCTCTACGCCACTGCTCTGTGTGTTGCAGAGCCTGGCACAGAGTTGATACACATGGAATGACCACAGGAATGAGTGCCAAAAAGACAGGCCTCTTTTATTTCTATTTTGAGCTGTACATTAATAGGGTTGGTAAAAATCCAGAAATCATCAGCAGTAAAAAGGAACAAACTATTTACTGATACATACTTGGATGGATCTCAAGGACATCATCCTTAGTAAAAAATGCCAACCTCTAAAGGTTAAATAGTGTACAACTCCATTTACACACCATTCCCAAAATAACAAAACAATAGCGATGAGGAAGAGACTAGCTGTTTTCCAGGAACAGAGATTCTAGCACGCGCCCGTGTGTGTTGATGGGGGTGCGGGTGGTGTTGCTACAGTGACAGCGGGAGGCGGTTCCTGAGGGCGACAGAAGAGTTCTGTATCTGAACTGTATTGGTGGGTTGCATGAATCTGTACATGGATCCGACTGCACAGAACTACACACACACACACACACACACACACACAAACACACACACAATTAAATGCATATAAAAACTGGTGAAAACTGAGCAAGGTCAGTAGTCTGGTTCAGTGTTGAACCAGGGTCAACTGCCTAATTTGGACATGGTACTACAGTTACATAACATGCTACCACTGAGAAAGTCAGACGAAGAACTGTAATTATTTTTACAACCACCTGTGAGTCTACAACTATTTCAAAATAAAAAGGTTTTAAAAATTGGGCAGGGCTTCCCTGGTGGCGTAGTGGTTGAGAGTCCGCCTGCCGACGCAGGGGACACGGGTTCGTGCCCCAGTCCGGGAGGATCCCACATGCCGTGGAGCAGCTGGGCCCGTGAGCCATGGCTGCTGAGCCTGCGCTCCGCCGCGGGAGAGGCCACAACAGTGAGAGGCCCACGTACCACAAAAAAAAAAAAGAAAAAAAAAATTGGGCAAAAACTATTTTCAGAAATCAAAAACTATCAGATAAAGCCACTTAGAATTTCTATGAAACAATTAATTCAAATTCTTATTTGAATTTAATAAAACAGTGAAACTTGAAATTATATTTTTAAATGAAATTTACAAAAATAGTATTAAGTAAATATAAAGGAAATAATCAGTAAAAAGAAATCCCTAAAAGCACTTTTCATTAATCTCAAGACATTTTACCACTTCTAAAGTTATTTTTAAGAACTGGTTTATGCAGCAGCTTACCTTTTTCAGTTATGTTAACTAAAAGTGTTGATTCTGATTGACCCAGAGGATTTCGAGCATTCAACGTAAAATTGTATATTTCTTGATTTGGAAGCATGTGAAAGAATAACTGATAGCTTTCATTTGTGGGCAACTCAACTCTTTTAAATCTAACATATTTTCCTGAAAAACTGAATTAAGAGAACATTAAAGAATATTAAAATAATTTCAAAATGGCAAGAGATTTATTGCAGGAAAAGATGAACGGGTAAATTTCTAATAAATTTTTTTTTAAAAAAGTCTGTATTTCTAATTATAGATATACTACGTACTCAGGGAAGAAAATATATACAAGGCAGAAAACAGAAGAAAAAAATCAGCCATTAAGCCCACTACCCAGAGACAGTCTCTGTTCATATTTGAGGATTCTCCCTTCTAGAGGCTTTTTTAAAAAGACAACAAGATATCGAGTCTGCATGTTTAAAGTGCAGTATTTATAGTATACCCAATTTTCTACAGCATATTTTGTTTTATATTTGTTCTCATAAATGAAACAGAGCATCTTATGTCATTTAATATCCTTCCAAGGTACTCCTCACTGTTCTGACAACCTTTCCCAGAGACCTTTACCTTTCAAATAAAGTGTAACTTGTATTGCGTGGGCCCACCAAGAACGTCGGTCTTCCTGGATTCCAAGTGCATATAATCTCTTTTAAGTCATATGTCTCACAGTTCAGTTTTTGAGGAATATCAGGTGGATCTAATAAAAAAAAAGAAAAAAAAGTAGTTACTTTGATTATGTATATTTTCTCTGAAAACGTTATGTTTCACAAATGTTAATTACATTTGGGACAATTTCCTTAAAAAATCATTTGCTTACATTCTGAATGGTGCAGGAATTACCATTCTTTGTATAGCATGTTGTTTCAGAGTTCATATTACATTAGGAGTGATGGATTAACATATACTTAAGAGTGACCATTAGCTCATTTGGAAACTCCCCAATAGCAACCTGAAGAGATCAACTATCATGTTTTCCCCTTAAATCCCATTTCAGAGTCCATCAAATCTCTCAAAGGAACCTTTGTCCAACTAGTTAAATGAGAAAAATCTACAGGTTAATAGTATTATTACCTATCCTCCTTATACTGTGATTTGAAAAGTACCACCAAATCATGTCAGTATAAGCCATGGTACAAGTTTCAGAGTTCTTAAATAAGTTATAAGGACTATTATTTACAAAGTCACTCTTGGTAAAATTCTACATATCCCTATATTCCAAGTGACTACTGATCTTTTGTTGCTTTTCTTCTTTAATGAGACTGTTCTGTTTTTGTAGGGGCAAGACTAGAAAAAGAAAAAAAGTTGTTTTGTTTTTGTTTTGTGAGACAGTGATAAATAAAAATTCTACAGTCTGACACTGATTATAGAAAGTGATATTTCTGTAATCTTACTTAACCAAGCATATACAGAAACTGATATTTCCTACTGTCATATTTATCCAAACTATCTTCCATGGAGGTAAGTTTTGTTAAATGACTATCTACTCATTGAAAAAGTCTAAAAGATAACTTTATTTTTAAAAACCTGAATTTTTAAAATAGTCCTTAGTTTATCAAACAAGACTTAGAAAATTTCACATACTTTCCCCAGAGATAAGCATTACATCCTTCAAGTATCTTAGGTAACATTAAGAGAAGTAATGAGTATATTTATATGAAAGTTTACCAACTGGGTAATAAAACTAACACTTACATATTTATTTTGAAAACGGTTTTAAACTTAAGGACAAACTTTTGGTCGTTTTATTAAATTCACATACCCCAAATTTTGAGGATATTTAAAATGCTGATTATTTTAGGATCTGGCAGATATATTAAGTTGAAATACTTAAAATCCGAATAACAGGAGCAAACTAGACAGAAGTAGAAGGAAAAATTGAAGGAGAAAAAAAATGAGAGGGCAGTACTTGAAATATACTGATTTTCTTTTCAAAGAAATTCACTTACAAAAGAATCAATTGAAGCTAAGTAAAAGCTCGGTATAAATCAATTGTCTTTCTATATAGCAGTCTATAGAAAACGCAATTTAAAAACATCAATTTTTAATAGCACCAGCAAACATCAAACACCTAGGAATAAATTTACCAAAAGATATAAAAGACCTCATATCACTAAAATAAATCAAAGAAAATCTAAATAAATGGAAGGCTATACCATGTTCATGGTTTGGAAGACTCAATATTGTAAGAATAAAAATCCTCCTAAATTGATAGATTTAATGTAATATCAATCAAAATCCTGGCACGTTTGAATGTGTATGTGTGTGTGTAGGGGTAAACTGACAAGCTGATTCTAACATTCTTTCCAGCCTTTTCAGTAAATGATGGGATAACAGGCTACCCATAAGAGAAAGGAAAGTAAATCTTGATCCCTAACACACACCACAGTCTGCCCTTGCTGCAAGTTTCTAAAGAGCTCCCTCTGAAGTGAACTGTTACTGTTGTTCCTGAATTGACAAATATTGATCAATATTTCAACCTCCAAATGTTATAAATGAAAGCTAAATTATGAACAAAATAGCACTATGATAAAAGATTAGAACATTGTTAGAAACAATAAAAACAGTGAATATTCTCATCTTTTGAGTTTTAATTTTTTATTTCATTCTTTTAAGTGAGTATCTCACTTTTTGGTATCACTTATCAAGCAGTTTCACTACACTGGTTCTTTACTTAGACTCCATGATCGTTTGTGAGGAATGTTGCACATCACTTCCTAAAATTCCATTTAGGAAAGAAAATTTAATTTTTTAAATTTCTAAAATTTAAATTCGAATATATCCTCACTCTCACTTGAATTCCAAAATGCCTTACTGGAAGGCAAAAAGAGAGTAGGGTTACAGCCATCATCAGGCTGAGAAGGGCACCTAATCCCCTTCCCTTGGGAATCTATCAGCAACTGAATGTAATTTATCATAAATTTCTATGGAAGTAAAAAAGTGACTGAAAGCGGCTGATCCACAGCGTAACTGACAATCATAAGGGAAAAAAAAAAAGCATAAGAAAAATCACTGAGTGAGCAAAAGAAAATGACAAAATCCATTCACTACATTTCACACACTTTATTCATGAGACCCTTGGACCACTAGAAACTTTAAGTTCCGAATGTGAGCAGGAAGGGAAGCACTGCTGGAGGCAAAGCCATCAGTGCATTATAACATTACAGTTACCACAGGGGAGGGGACAGAAAAACTCTAAATACAAAAGTATCTGTGGGGCTTCCCTGGTGGCGCAGTGGTTGAGAGTCCGCCTGCCGATGCAGGGGACATGGGTTCGTGCCCCGGTCTGGGAAGATCCCACATGCCGCGGAGCGGCTGGGCCCATGAGCCATGGCCACTGAGCCTGCACGTCCGGAGCCTGTGCTTCGCAACGGGAGAGGCCACAACAGTGAGAGGCCCGCGTACCGCAAAAAAAACAAAAACAAAAGTATCTGTGGATGCACAACACAAGCCATATAGGTAGGGCAGTCCACCCACAACAACTTTTGGAAACGTCATGGAATGTAGAAGTGACCATGTTAAAAGATGCCCCTGCATTACGGAGAGTACATCAGACAGAGAACACAGTGAGAGGGGGACTCTTCCTCTCCCCATGTCCTGCAGCCACCCTCCTCTCATCAGAGAAGTGTAGGTTATGCTTTTGAAAGATTTTGTGTAAAATCATTACAATTTCTTTAATTCAGGTACTTTAAAAAAAGGTATGCTTTAATTAGGTGGGAAATTAATTTATATGAAAAAATTCCTAAATGATGTAGGAGTAAGAAATATCATATACTATCTGCCCTTGACTCAACAAAGCTGTTAACTAAGAAGTTAAACTAAAAATTAGCAGATGAATGTTTCAAATCTTTATTACAAAAGCTACAAATTATATAGATACAGGTATGTAGAAAACAAGCTTAGAACTCACCTTAAAACAAGCAAAAATGCTGGTACCCTCATATGTCATTTGTATCAAAGAAGAAAAAAATAAGAAAAAAATAAAATCATCCCCCCGAAAAAGCATTAAGGCTTTCAAAGAGGACCAAAACAGATTAATAGGAACTCTTTTCTTAAAAAAAAAATTATATACTTACATCCTGCAAAAATAACTGTTCCAAACATGTTATCTTCTACGGAGAAAACAACATTTGTCCCACTACTTTCGGAAGCAGAAATATTACGGATCTTGATTGCAACATTTTTCCCATCAAGATGGATAAGGGGACAATATGTACTGCCAATCTGTGCTGATAACACTTTTTCTTGAGTCACACAACATACTGTTATATCTGAGCCTACAAGTAGCACTCTGTCTTGAGGAAAAACCTTAGTCTGAGAATCAGGAGACCCTAGAAAGAGCAAAAGGAATTACAAATACTTTAGAAGTCTTTTACATAAATTAGCCCAGTGTACATAAAACACACTGTTAGGTACTTTGTAATTATGGTGGCCCAAAGGTAAGGTACGCCCCCCAGGTTTCAAAGGAGCAAGACATACACAAGAAATAAAAATGTGTGTGGTTTTATTTACTTATGACGGGGTGATGGTGGGGGGGTAGAGGAGACTGCAGGTCACCGTGTAAGGTCGCAGGTTAATATCTAAGAAGTCTAAACGTTCAAATTAAGTGGGTTTATCCACATGTGAAAAATCCACACCAAGAAAAAGGTACACATTAAATAATCCCATTCCTTTGAAATTATTCTATGTATTTAGATCAGATGTCCTACTTTCCATCAGCTTACATGCATGGTTAAATACTCCACATCCTAAAAAGCACTTTCGAAAAAAAATCCCAACTCTGTAGGTTAAAGCCACCCTTTTGTTTTTATTTTCCTAAAGAGCCAATTAAAAAATATTATCTCTAGTCTCCTTTCTACCTACTCACTCTTTAATCTACTGCAATCTGGCTTCTACTCTGGCCACTTTACTAAAATGGCTCCACGGCCTAACTGCTCAATCCAATGGCCATGTCTTAGTAATCTTTCCTTCAACTTCCACAGCATCTGGTATGTTGCCTAAAGTCTTCCTTCTCAAAACTCCCTTCTCTCTTGGGGTGTAGACTACTTACTTTTGCTACTCTGAACCCTCCGGCTGCTGTTTGTTTTGCTGGCTTCATTTTCTTCCATCCTCCCCTCCTCACACAAGCTTCTAAGAGATGTGTCCTTGGTCTTCATGCCCCTTTCCTTGAGTTATGTTAACCTCCAAGATTTAAAAATTTTCACATCACATATGTTAACGATTCTCAAATACACAGTTGACCCTTGAACAACATGGGTTTGAACTGCATGGGTTCACTTATGTGTGGATTTTTTTCAATAGTAAATACTACAGTACTACAGGATTTGCGGCTGGTTGAATCCTTGGATATGGAACCACACATATGGAGGTTCCACGGGAATGGAGGGCTAACTATAAATTATGTGTGGATTTTCCACTACATGGAGGGTCAGAGCCCCTGGGGGTTACCCAGTTGTTCAAGGGTCAACTGTATATCTCCAGTTCGAACTAATCACCTGGATGCCGAATTTGTATTCCCAACTGACAATGAGAAATTGCTCCCAGGCACTTCACAGCTACCTCAAGCTCAACACATTAAAATTGAAATTTATCTCTCCCACCTAGTTTGTTCATATAGTTTCTGTCTCATTGGACAGCATCACCAGCTACCCAGCTGCCCAAACTAATAGTCATCTTCAGCTCTATTTCTCCCCTACCAAAAGCATAGTCACTCATTCTAATTTGGTCTCTTCAGTGTTTTCATACTTCTTCCCTCTTTTCGTTTCTAAACACAGGTGTCCTATTTTATACCTTCACTGTCTTTTGCTGAACTACAAGATTCTCCTTATTAATCTGCCTGCTTCCAGTCTTTCCTCCCTCTGATCCATTTCTCCATATTGTCACTAGGGTAAATAATCTACAATGATTACCAGCCTTTTAAAGCACTTTATTTTATTGTCAGCAATTTTCTAGGCCCTCTCTCACACTGCCAACACTATACCTGCATGAGTTTTATTCAATGTACAGATGATTTTTGATATACCTGCAGATTCACACTGTTAATTTTATTTTATTTTTTTGGCATGCGGGATCTTAGCTCCCCGACCAGGGGTCCAACTTGCGCCCCCTTCATTGCAAGCTCGGAGTCTTAACCACTGGATTGCCAGGCAAGTCCTATACTTGCGGATTCCCATGTTCTCTGCAGTAACTGCAGCTCACAGCAGTCTGCTCTATGGGCAAGAAATTGGGAGCTCTATTTTAAAAATATGGACTTGATCTCATTACCGCCTACATAAAATTTTTAAATGTTCTCCCAATGTCTATTCGAAGTGATTTTTAAACATGGATGTTTATCTAATCACTCAGTATGTTCTTTAAAAATACAGATTCCTGAAGCCTAGCTCAGAGTTTCTGGATCAAAATGTTCTGGGGCAGAAGACTTGGAAGATCCCCAGGTGACCCTCATGCATCCAAATGGGGTTCAGAGAACTAAAACCGTGAGCTAAACCCTACCCTTAAGCAAGACTAATCTAATTCATCTGAAATGAAAATCCTTTAAATATGCACTTACAAGAGATGTTCTTCAGTGGGCTCCAGTCGCTCCACTCTTTGCGACCAGAGAACTGAGGATCATCAATGTAGCATCTAATTCCCACATAGTGAGTGGCGCACTCCAAGGGCATGTCTGAGATCCAGCTCCAGTGATGAATTGTATCTCTGCCATTCAGAGTTGTGTTGTGGGTCACCTACAAAATGAACACAAACACAAAATTCTATTTCCAAGTACTATGTCCCGCTTTCCCTTAGGGTTAAAAAAACACAACAGACTGTATACAATTACCAGCTAAGTAAATCAAAGCTTTGTTCTTTTGTAAATCTATGTTTTCTATAAGGCATAAAAGGAGAGTTGTAGTAACAATAATTATGATTCATTTATGTTTACTTCTTCAACTTTAGGGCCTACTTCATTATTACACAAGATGTTAATATTCCAAAACATTCAATACAGTTCATGAGAAAATACACCATTACCTAAAATGGTCCCATTTTCCATGGAGAAAAAACAGTTAATGCTTTTTTTATCTCCAAGGGTTAAAGTCAAAGAGAGGAGAGCATTTCAACAAAATAAACTATTATTTTAGACTGGATTATTTTTTTATATAAGTGTCATATATTTCAAATTTTATTTTTAAATATGCAACTTATAATAATATAGAAAGCTTAATTTCAATTGTGGAAAATGGGCAAGATTTCAACCAAATATATGAGGATATACTAAGAGAGACCTTGGGACTTCTGGTTAAAGACAACAGATTAAATAAATGTACTTCCTTCTCTTTACTTCATGAAATTCCTTTAGAACAAAAGTAAAAGATTTTTTTTTTTTAAAGGCACAGATACACAAGGGCAAAAAATTGAAGAAACAATACCAGTAAGATTCTGGACACTGGAAAGCAGATGGGCAACGGTAACTAACTATGCATTCTAAAGGCTGGGGCACTCCTGCCTTCTTCCCTACTCAGCCCCCAGGATACTGATGGCCAGGTACATACTCACCAGGTAAGAGTCTAAGCAAACTTTTCTAAGGAGCATATGAACAGGTCAAGATAAAAACCTAAAATAATATTAAGATTTTTCCAGCTTGACAGCCCATCCTATCACATATAGTGATGCCCCAGCCAACAAGTCCCACCCAGGCAAACAAAAGTTCCAATTAGACTTGTTTTATTTTTCAAGAACCACTCACTTAAATATGAGCAGCAACCAGGATGACCAGAAAGTGGAGAAAAAGTTCTAATGTGAAAGTCAAAGATCAAAACAACAACAACAAAAAAGCAATGTGAAAAAACAGAATGCACAGAAAGAAAATTTTAAATCACTGATATTCTCAAAGATAAGAAGAGATACTGCATCCATGAAACAAGAACATGATAAATTTTTTTTTAAAAAAGGACTAAGAAAAGGGATCTCTTGTATATTAAAAAGTATATTAATAGAAATTCAAAAGTGCAAGATAAACTTTAGGAAAAATTGCTCAGAAAATAGAGCAAAATACTGATGGAATGTAAGAATGATAAGATAATTAGAGGAAAGGTCAGAAAGGTACAATTTCTAAAGAACAGAAGTTCTAAGAAAAAAAGGAGAAAAAAGAGATGAGGAAATCAAAGACATAAGAATTTCCCAAGCTGACAGGCATGTGTTTTCAGACTGAAAGGGGCCTAATGAGTGTCCAGCACAACAGATGAAGATAGATCTACAATGAGAAGCAAATGGAACAATGCCTTCAAAATCTTGAGAAAATTTTCCAACCTAGGATCTTTTACCCAGCCAAACTAGCAATCATGAGTGAATGCAGAATAGACATCTTCAGAAATGTAGTATCTCAATGTATTCATCAAGTAGCACTTTACATTCCCACCAGAAGGGTATGAAAGCTCCAATCTTTCTGCATCTTCTCAATATTTGGAATTGACAGTCTTTTAAATTTTCCTGGCAACTAATTTAAATTATTTTTAATAAAATATATCTGTAAGCTACCACTGCAGTTAGCAGAGAGTATCTACAAAAAATAGCAAATAACTACTGGAATTTATGCTTCCACCAAAATGAGGAAACAAGGAATTCAGGAAGAAGAGGACCCATCATAAGACAACTATAAAAGGAATCCTCTGAATGAGGATGAACCATAGCTTCCTAACAAATATGTTGAAAAACATAGAGGTTTGTCTTGAATGGTTTATAGGTATACCCAGGTATTAATCTCTTCAAACCAAGGGTTGGCTACTGGGATTGGAGGCTGCTGGAGCTCCTGAGAAACCTCAGAATACTCAGCTATTTGCCACACTTTGTGCTATACAAATATTTGGCAGCATCCACATGAGCTCTTATATGAAAAGGGTCAGGAAGTCAGAAGGCCCTCAGAGAGATGTATTCAGAAAGACAAAACTGATGTTTGCTTGAACATTTCGACAGATTTACACAACCTAGAAAGAATTTAGGATTGAATTAATGAAGCAGACAAATAAAAACTATAAGTACAAGACAATACGAGATGATGTACAAAAAAAAGGAAAAGAATAGTAAACACTATTTGGTTCAGTTATAAATAGTGTTTGCATTACTGTAATCCAAATAATGAATACTGGTCTACCAAAAATTATAACATAATGATATTGGAAAAAAATAAGAAGTGGAGAGAGAGAGAGAGAGAGAGAGAGAGAGAGAGAGAGTGTGCGTGTGCGTGCACACGCATTTGAGTGCACATACATGCGAGTGCGTGTCCCTGGGCTGCCAAGTGAGACAGGACTAAATTCTCATTCTACATTGTGGGAAGTTAATAAAACATTGCTCAAAAAACTAAAATAATAATAACAGCAACATAAGCAGGCTATCTGGAAAAATGGAGGCAAATAATAAAAGAATCAGCTAAAAGAATTCCTTGTTTACAAGAGAGAAAAATGAGAGGAGGAGAGAGGGCTGCATAACTCCCAGGCATCATTCACATCCTGGCTTGCGCAGTGGAAAGCTTCCACAGCTGTTTGTGAGGCTGTGGGCAGAAAATGTCAAGTTATAAATGAAACACTATAAATTAAACTTATAAATGAAACTCACATTTACAGTGTTTCATGATCTTTAATGATCTTTAAGCTATTACAAAATAATAGCATTATAACCTGTCATAAAATGACTGATTATAAGCAATTCTACCTTAAATACTAATACTAATAACATAATTATAAATAAAAATGTCATATTTTACTATGGACAGGAGTAACTTTTTAAAATTAATTTGTTCTAGCTCTATTTTTCTTGCCTCTTGCTATTTTTCCCCATAGAAAGATTTTTCTCCAAAGATCATATTCCAAAAAGTAGGGAATTACTATCTTGCCATTGCTGTCTTGTTACACATCTTGTGGCAATGAGTTACATGACCTTAGAATAATATTTCCATTCATTTATGCTTGATTTCACTTACATGTCAAAGAGTATCCCTCTTACTCCAGCATCCCTAAGTCAGTTAAAAAAACAAACAAACCATCTAGCTCCCAAAGGAAGTAATAATAACTAATAGCTGTTTAGTAGCTTTATAAATATCATACCATTTACTACAGAAAATATTAGCACCATTTAACAAATAAGAAAAAGGAGGTTTTGAGAAGTCATCCTAAGCCAGTAAGTAGTAATGGAGAATATAAAATGTTAGGCCATAAAAAAAGCTACACAATACAATTTTAAATAAGTAATAGTTTTAAGACAACAATGGTAGAGCTATATCAAAGTTAGCTGCAAACCAGACTGACACACAAGAATTGCCATTAAAACTCAAGAAAAGAGAGAGCATTTTTACACTGAGGTAATTAGGATGGGCTTTAAAATAAGGGATAGGATTTGACCTGGGTCTTGAAATGTGTATTCAATTTGTATAGGTGAAAAGGAAAGGGAGGGCATCTTAGATGAAAATAAGTATACTGATTATGTAATACAATACAGATGGTACTGGTTAAGGAAGAGCACAGACTCTGGAATCAACTGTCTGGGTTTAATTCCTGGCTCCTCCATTTAATGTCTTCCTGTGACTCTGTATCTTCATCTGTAAAATGGGGGTGATGCTAATACAGCCTCCCCCAGGGGCCTGTTGTGAAGATGCAAACTATTAACATATAGAGAGCTTTCACAATAGTGCCGGGAAGAGAGCTTTCACAATAGTGCCAGGAAGGGGAATGCCAGAAGCATTGGATACAAGATAACTACAATTATGGTGCTATTGTTTCAGGATGTAATACATAGGTTGTCAAAAAGGAAAAATAATACAGTGACTATGAAATACAGAATAATCCTATTTATTATCTTTACTATTTTATCTATGTACTTAGGCAAATAAACTGTAAAATCATGGTCTTCTAATTCTTAAGTCTATAACTAGGCATATTTCAAGTGCATTAAAGAGGAAAAGAGTAAAAGGATGAAAGAGGGAATTCCCACGTACTAGCTGTTAATACTTTTCACTGCTATATCTCACTATTCCTTAGATTAATAACAAACTAAAGATGGATCATTAGGAAACTATTCATAAACAAGATTTTAAAAATTAGAGAAAAAAAACATGTACTATTAAATATAAGAATGTTATTTTGGATTCAGATAAATTCAAACTTATAGATTTATTCAAACTTACAGATTTATACAAACTTATAGATTTATACTTATAGATTTCTCAACAATTACTATGGCTAAATATGTTGCAAAACATTTATTTTTATGTCTATGTTAGATAATTTATAGTAATATGTAAATTAAATTATATGTATATTTTTAATTTCATTTATGTAAAAACATGCATATAAAAAAGGTTTGACAGGAATACACAAAGATACTGTTTACTATGTTCAAGTGGCAGAATCATGGATTAATCCTCCCTTAATTTCCTAAACTTCCTATAATGGTTACACATTATTTCATTAATTTAGTGAGCATTTTAGGCATAGCATACAGTTTTTAATGAACCCCCAAAGGATATCTGATTTACTTCTTTAATATCTAAAGGTTCACTGTTGCCACTTTAAAATTATAAAAAAAGTATTCCGTTTCTTTAATGTCACAGGAAAAAAACTATTTTTGTTCAAACTTACTAATTTTATGATTTCCATATTCTTTTTACGTAGAACTTTGACTTCCCAGATGACATCTGAGTGATGTGGAAAAACAGAACCCTTGTCATTCCACTTTAGGTGTAATGCAGAAGTTGAGAAATCAGCAGACAAATCCAAGATCTCTGGAGCATCTGGAATTAAGGCTGAAAAAAAGGAAACAAAAGATAAAACTTAGTCAAATAACTAACTATTTTTCATATTATAATCCCATTAATCAACTAATGTTAAACTCTACTTCTTGATCAAAAAACAATTAAGGATTAAAGTAAATTCTTGCACCTCCTACTGAAAAAAGAGAATAAATATATGTATTTATTTGTATAAGCAGCTCCCAGTTGTTCATCAGCCAAATCTGAGAAAATTATTTACCAGCCCGCTGTTTCAAATCCATAATACATCTTCTAATACAAACAGCAACTGAGTTCCCACAACACTCCAGTGTCACTGGGTCTGAAATCTCCAAGCAGACAACATTGGAGAGAATTAAAAAAGCTCCCTTTGTATAGATTATGGAGAGCTGGCCTTGGTAAACCTTTCCATCTGTTTTCTCTGCACCCTTCCCCACTCATCTCCAGTCACAGCCTGCATGCTAGGGAAAGTTACCCACTTGAGGATGCAATGAGCTACTACTGGCATAGGCAGCAGTAAACAGCAGCAAGACCGTGGTAGTGACCAAAGCATTGAGTTGAGGAAGCCAACAAGGTTCTAAGAAGTACTTGGCAGGATCTGGGAAGTCCTTCAGAAAGGCTAGTTTGCAGTGGTGTGCAACAGGTCTGCAGGTGATTGAGAAAGAGATAAGGTGATCCAGCAGGAGACAGCTGGAGAAAGCCTGGCTATAGTAGTAAGGATGTGGCTCAGGATGCCATATATGGAAAAGAAAGGACAAAATCTAATGGGCATTTCAAAGAAATGACTGGATCATAGAAATGAAGGATTAGTAATAACAAGACATGAAAACATTTAAGATTTCTTCAAGTCACTAGCCCAGAAAGCAGGAAGAAAGGCAAAAGGAACCAGGGACAATTGTGAAGAGATGCGGGAGTCTGGCCATGGATGACTAAGTGTTGGGGAAAAAACGACCATCAATGGAGGGGGGAGGTGCAGACAGTAAGTGAGAATGGGGACCAATCAGAGAGTGCACACAGACTCAAGAGGAACTCACTGAGTGCAGCTCAGAAATGAACATAACACACCGACACAAAACAGCCGAAGCTTGTTTGAGAGCTAGTGACACAGTCACACCTTCAAGGAGCCACAGACCCCAGCAAGACTCCCAAGAGGGAATGACGTAGAAGCAGAAGGAAACCAGAGAAAATCTGGGATCACTGAGATCAAAAGAAATGGGTTGTTGTCCAGGCCCAAGAAAACAGAGTTCAGAGAGGAAGGCTGAGAAAAGACCACTGGTGGTCTTTTGATGCTGGTGAGGGTACCGTCAATTCCTGAGAAAGAAGGCTGGCAGGGCAGTAGGCTCTGAAGCTGTAGTACAAAAGGTAAAGAGAAAAACCATGCTCAAGGATAGAGCCTCTCACAGGGAGAAACTGGTAAACTTAAAAAAACAAAACAAAACAAAAAGGTAGCCAAAAGAGTAAGGTATTCTTCAAAATCTTCAAGTCTTCCTACCTATAAGGAAGGAGGAGTATATTAATGAAAAATGTGGGGATCAGTAGGAAACACACAAGGTATGAGCCTGTTCTGTTCTATGAAATTCAGGCTTTCTGGTATGAAGGGCTCCTTCTTGCCTGTGCTCTCCTCAAATGACAGTAAGGTGAAGGTAAGTTGAAAGAAATCCAGACTCACAGGCTCTCAGGCCCCATATCTATCCTAGTGCTGCCCCACGAAGTTCAAGGACCATTAAGTAAAGTCACTTCCAGCACAACTGCGGGAGCTGACAGAGGGAGGGTGGCTGAATGTGCTGAAGAACAAAAATGGCAAAGCAGACTAATATAATACAAATTATATGTAATATAACTTAGTCTTGGAACTTAAAAATAAGTTTTTACTAAACTTACTTAAAATGTACTGATCACGGTGCTCTACACTGGATTTACGTAAAATGTTTAGGGTCGCACAGGAAACAGAACATGTGGATTAAAGCCTAAAATATGCAGCAGTTAACAGTTACACAGCTACATAAGGACAGTGGAGGATGCTTTACACGAGAAGTTTAAGTGGGAAACTGCTTTTAAAAAAGAAGGAGCAAATGAGGAGTAACAAGCTGATTCAGTGCCAGGAGGGACAAGTTTAAGGTGGCAGGGCAACCACACAGAGCAGAGGCTGCCAAGAACATGGATCCTTCAAACGTTCCAAGATGTCACAACGTAGTAACTTAAAATTATTAAACATGAGAGTACTTTATTAAGGCAACACTCATCTATTAAAATGCTTCCCTCCCTGAAAAGTATACATAATTAACATTTTATCTAAATAGCAGTGGGCTATTCTTCAAAACCCAAGTCATATCTAATATTTCCAGCTAAAGACAGTAACAGCCATAATTACAAATGAAAAGATTAAACACAGTTTTTTCACGACTTCATAGTATACTTCTTCATTGTATGCCAGGGAAGTTCCCCTAAGCTCTCACGAACTGTCATCTGCATTTTTCTCCAGCTAAAATACACTTGAGGACAGTGTTAGCTCGCTTTCTAGAAACTACAAACTTTGCAGCTAGAAAAAATTTCATCAATCTTGTTTATTTTTTAAATAAAGCTGGTTTTATCTTTACCCATAACCTCCACGCCCCTTCTGCCTTAGAACATCAGAAGATGGGAGCTTTCCCAGATCTTTTATAGGATCCACGTTATTTATTCTGCCTCATACAGATGCAAATTTTTAGGTTATTTTAAGAAACTTAAGAGATTAAAAATCTTACAAAGACTTATTTTTGTGCTTTCCCTTGTCGATTAGAAGCTTATTAGAGGGGACTTTCCCAGTGGTGCAGTGGTTAAGAATCCGCCTGCCAATGCAGGGGACATAGGTTCAATCCCTGGTCCGGGAAGATCCCACATGCTGCGGAGCAACTAAGCCCATGCACCACAACTACTGAGCCTGCACTCTAGAGCCCGTGAGCCACAACTACTGAGACCATGTGTCACAACTACTGAAGTCCGCGTGCTCTAGAAGCCTGTGCGCCACAACTACTGAGCCCGCATGCTGCAACTACTGAAGCCTGCGCACCTAGAGCCCGTGCTCCACAACAAGAGAAGCCCGCGCACCGCAACAAAGAGTAGCCCCCGCTTGCCACAACTAGAGAAAGCCCACGTGCAGCAACAAAGACCCGACACAGCCAAAAATAAATAAAATTTTAAAAAAGAAGCTTATTAGATATATGTATATGTGTTAAACATCTTCTTTGCTTTATATGTATACTTTTGAAAGCATCTTAAGATTTGGAGAAAACTTAATTTCTCATACTTTTATTTAGTAGCAAACTGCCAAAGAACCCAAATCTTCTAATGCACAGCTCCACTATCATTTCACAGCATCTCTTGCAATATGACAGGTGTTCAAGGTTTGCTGATGGACCCACCTCCCTCTCTTATATTCATCTAATTTGCTTTTCATTTTCTTATCAGTATTTTTCTTATTTGAGTAGCAGTAGTAATATCTTAGGGTTGGGATACTGTTAATCTAATATTCAAATCACAATGAGGCCCATTATTATTAAAAATGCTGTCAACAAATTACATGCTATGCAAAAACAGTGAACTATTAATCAAGTAAGTCACCTAGAGTCTGTCCTGATTTGCCTTTTGAATTCTAACACTGTTATCTTCAAGTAGCTTCCCAGACAGAACCTTCTCAATCCCTACTGATAAAGCAGACAGCACAAACTGGCTCTCTGACAGAGTCCTGGGGAAATTTTTTAAAATCTGGAATAAAATTAAGTTAGATTCCCTCATACCTTAGTACAAAATAATTCCAGATGGATGAAAGATTTAAGCATGATAACAAAACCCAAAACTCATGAAGAAAAATATCAAGAGATTCTATTATATAAAAATGAAAATCGGTGGTATGAGAAAAACACCACCAAGTTTAAATTTTAAACTTGGAGAAGTATTTGTAGCAAACAGGACAGAAGTGATAACCATACTATACAGAAAGCTCTTGTGAACTAATGAGGAAAAAGATGAATTTCAACATGAGAGAAAATTTACAAAGGATATAAATAGTTCAGAAAAGAATAAAAATGATAATTTTAAAAAGTAATCACAGAAATATAAAAACAACAGCGCTATAATTTGGGGGCCATCAGACTGAAATCGCAAAACTAAGAGAGATAGACAATACCCAGTCCTGGCAAGGATGCAGACAAGCAGGCATGCTCTAATATGATGTCTGTGGGAATGCAAAAAGGTTCAAAATGTGGGGGGAACAACTGGTAGCAGACATCAAGAGTCAGAAAAAGCGGATGTCTTTAATGTAGCATTCCCAATTCTAGGAATTTAGCCTAAGAAAATCATCACACAAATTCAGCAACATGTATGTGCACAAAATGTTCATTAAAGCATTGGTAATAATGCTGAAAGACTAGAAATAAAAATCTCAATGTTAATAATCAGTGACAATCCCAAACTCCCTAGCTATCCCTCCCCCCCACACTTCCCGCCCCCCGCCCCGCCCCGGTTTGAAATTGACATGTACACTCGGCTGTATTTTAAATGGATAACCAACAGTAGGATGACCTACTGTATAGCACAGGGAACTCTGCTCAGTATTATGAAACAACCTAAATGGGAAAAGAATTTTTAAAAGAATAGATACATGTATATGTATAACTGAAAAAAAAAAAAGACATCAATCTAGTTCAATTTTAACAAGGCCTCGATTTAAAATGATGTGGTAATTGATTATAATAAAATAGTATAAGTAAAAAAAAATTTAAAATAAAATATATAATTTGCTAAAAATAAAATAAAATACAATTTGCTAAAAAAAAATCAGTGACAAAGTAATTATGGTACCTCCATTCAATGGAATACTAGGCAGCTATAATGTAGATTTATTTACATAATAACTTGAAAATCTATCTATATCTTGTGATAAGCCTATAATAAAGTAATATAAACTTTACTGTTTATACACACACACACACACAAACACACACACACACACACACAGAAAACACATGTAAGTATTAACAATATTTCTTCCTGGGTATTGGGATCATGGCTGACCTGCACAAAACAATCTCACATGTATCTCACATACAACTACAGAAAGAAAATAACAAACATGGCTCTTCTCTATCTTGAAAACAGCCCTAAGTAGCACTTTACCCAGACAATACTTCAGCCAGAAAATGAGACCGGTTCTAAGTTCCTGGACAGCATGCTTTGCTATTATCCTTTCAAAATCTGTGCTGTGTCAGACACAGACCACTCCAAACATGCACCTTGCCTGTAAAATTGGAGAGATCACCAAGTTGCTTATATTTTCTTTCCCTTGCTTCAAAATAAGTCATCCTTATAAGACTCACTGTAATATCATTATGATGCCATCCCATAATAGTTGTCAGAAGGCAACAAACCTGCCTACCCCACCATTACGAGAGTCAAGACCACTGGAGTTTTTAAGGTCTCATTGCATGGCAAAATTTCCATCTCCAAGAGCCTGGATTTATTTCATGCTTCCACCCAGCTTGTAGCATACGTCCTAGGCATTCGGTCAACACATCTATAAAAGATGCCTGCTATGTGCAAGGCACTGGACTAGACACTAGGTGTGGAAGACAAAGTCTCTGCCCTCAGGGAACCCATTTTCTTGTAGAGGAAACACACAGGAAGCACCTAATTATATAATAAATTATTTATGCAATCGTGAGAAATACCACAAAAGAGAAATACAGACTGCCTAAAGGAACGTTAAGAAAGGAATGGGGTCTCCTCTGGGAGGGGATGGTCAAAGACTATTTCCTAAGGATGGCTGAGGAATTCTAAAAGGCATGCAGGAATCAACAAAGTAGAGGGGTAGGTGAAGAGAATCCAACCGTGGGAAGGACCTTAACTTGTGTGACGTCTATTTGACTGACCAGAGGAAGAGTTTGCTTCCATCTTGATCTTGGCTATGCTCCACAATTGGAAGTATGGTCTCAGGGTAAATGAGAATATTAGTTTAACAAAATATATAAAAGAATGGTAAATTCCTGTCAATTATAAAGCAGCACAATACTAACAAAGGCACCATTCTGAGTTATTTTCAAATCAATTTTCTTTTCAAATACTTACAAACGTTTTTTTCATTTAGTGTGAATTTACTTATAAAACTTCCAAAATCATGTAAAGGGTTTATTGTTATTTCATGATCACCAGGTAAAAGAGCTGGGATTTTAATATTTTTCTCCAATCGATAACAAGAATGGGACCTGCAATATAAGAAATCAAATTTTAATTAGCAGATAAAATGGAGCGCAATTTTCATAAAAATTTGATTAACACAAAATTCAGTGGAAAATACTTTGTTCTTTTGTATACAAAAATATGACAGGTTACATCGCATTTTAAGACTGCAAAAAAGCGAGGTAAATGGTAAGTCCATCAATGTGGTGGTAGGAAAAATAACCAGACTGTATCAGAAAGTCAAGAGAGTAAGCAGAGACAATTCTATCAAGAAACTTAGGGCTTTAGCATGGCCTTCAAACCCCGCCCAACCCTGCCTTTGCACATACTCTGCCCCCCACACCCCCCTTCTGGACCGATCACTACAGGGTCCCCATCACCGAGACTTCAACCAGCTTGTCTGCTCCTCTGTTTTGCCTCACAGTTCACTCGTACAAAACGTTCTCATGTTCTCATCAGCTCCGCTTTCAAAGTGCTTCTAGTTCCCACCCATTACCTCTCAGACAAAAGTGAATTTTTCTTCTGTGGTTCCATGGCCCTCTATATCTTTATAGGGCATGTTTACACGCTTTGTTATTCACATACATTTCTAATTTCCCGTAAAATTTTAATTCAAGCAAAAGGACTTTGGGTGTCTCCTGCATCACCACCCTGCCCCGCACAGGCCTCTTCACATTCCTAAGTGAATTTAGGACTGAGGACTTGAAGGGGTCGGCTAACCTCACGTGTGTGGGTTTCTTTACGTGCCAGCAACAAAAAACCACCCGAATCCTCTAAATCATGCTTTTTCATACATTGATACCATTGTACCCAATATTCTCTCAGGTTGGAATGGCTTCCTGTCCTGTTTCTGCTGAGAAAACTGAGTATTCCTACTCCACCACCACGCTTCTGACAGCCTCTCTGGACCTCACACTCCTTAGTCAATGCTCCCTCAGACCATCACAGACAATTAGCATCAGCAATTAATCCACAGCCTCATTATGCTCTGTTTCTCGTGAACTCCTGGAGCCAGGATAACTTCTTCTCTGTGGGTTCTGCAGTGGTCAGTAGTGCTATTTACCAGATATTCTGGATTCTCCCCTTCCGGATTCACAGGAGGATTGCACTTCCCTGCTCCTCTGAAACAAGGCATGGCCATGTGATATTAGTTGTAGAGAAAGTGAGTCAAAGTCACAGTTTCTAAAAGCCAGGAAGGCTCTAAAAGCCAGGCAGGCTCTGCTCCCCTCCCGTCCTGGTGCACTGGGAGATGAGGGCTCCCTGGCCTGTGGCCCTGAGGGAGGGAAAAGGGGCAGAGATGCCAGCTGACCTCAAGATAGACACAAAACACAAGCAGGAGTAATCCTTTATTTTCACTGCAGAAAATAAGGACATAAGATTCGAAGGTTGTTTCTGCAATAAAACCAAGCTCGTCCTGGCTGATAAATTACCATCACACTTAGACTAATGTTCAACAAACGTACACTGACTGGGAAAAAAATCTGAGTGTATTTAAATCCACATTTATGTCAATTTACATTAGGACCACTTATCAGCACACTGGTGCTTGGAGCTCTGCACTGAACTTCTCTGGCATTGCTAAACAACTCAGAGCCCTGCTGGGATTAGGGAGGAGCAAGGAGAGTGCTCTGGCTTCCAGACAGCCCGAAGGCTTCCACTCCAAGCTCCGGGACTTGCAGCCACTCCAAGATTACCTGAGAGGGTAAGGCAGTGTGACGGAACCTACCACTTGCCTCCTAATGTCCACTTCCCCCCTTTCCTTAGTAACACTGCCCCAGGTTTATCCGAGTACATTGCCATCAGCTATGAGAACACATCACCTAGCCTCTTATGCAAATAAGTTTAACCACTGCACTAAGTTCTGCCAATGAGATGTAAGCAGAGGTGTTGTACAGGACTTCTTAGAAGTCTTCCTAAAGCAAACCATCTCCTTCCTGCTTTCTGGAAGGCAGACATGACAGCCACTCCTGAAGCATCATCTTGAACCATGAGATCATACCCTCAAGATGGCTGAGTAGCATGAAAAAGAGGAACCTGGGCCTCTCATGGCCATGTGCACCCATGTTGGCCTTGAACCGCCTACTCCAGACCTTTCATATGACAGTGCCTGTCTATTACTGACATTTTCTGTCAGGCAGAGTCAAAACTTGAACTTCATTGATACAGGTAGGCACTGGTTTAGGATAGACCAGTAAAACTTCCCCACAGACGATCAGAATCCACAGCCCATGAGAAGTGTTTCCCATACTCAACATTCACACGATAAAAGAACCAAAGTTGTGGCCAGGAGATGGGTTTGTTTCCATCCTGACTGAAGTAAGATTCAGATTTTTAGAAAATAGAGAGCTAAGATTTAAAATGTCTTTTAAAAATTTCCAGAATAAAATATTTATATTCTAAAATTAAAGAACCTTTAGATTATAGCTATAAATTAACCAAAGTATTTCCATTACCCGTTTTCAAAGCAAACTTCATAAGCAGCACCATGGCCTGCTCCAGAGGGTGCTCTCCAAGAACAGTCCCACACTTGTAAATTGTTAGTTATACACTTCAAATCACGAGGAGTCCCTGGAGAAGGAGAAACAAAACACACACATACGCACACACACACGCACATGCACACAAAATGCTTATTAATTTAACTGCACTGTAAAAGTCAACAAGTGAAACCATTCCCAGCCATAAGGACAAGCATATGTGTTTGCAGAAGGCCCATGTTCTTTATGCAGAGATGAACCTGCAGTCACAGGAAGTGACTGGTTTTATATTTCTTTTTGTAGCTTTGGTTTAAAAAAGCTAGTGAGTAAACTGATGAAAGTGGGTCAACCACTAGACCACTTAGGGGTTAGGCCTCTCTCAAAAATTCTACTTCCAGACAACTAAGATAAATAGAGGGAGTGGCTATATGGATTCAATGAAGGGACCAAGAGAGCACCTGGGAGAAATTTAATCTCCAGTGACCCCATTTGCAAAAAAGTAAAATTAAAAAAAAAAAAAAAAACTCTAAGACTTTAAGTAAAAACTATGTATCTCCTATGCCACAAACACAGCTTCTAAGCACTCCTAACTACTAGTGCTTCACAGCTTGTTACCAGACTGCCACCTACACAGAAATCCCACAGCCAATCTTTAGATTTTTATGAAGCACATCACATAAACAGTAATAAACTCACATGAGTCTCTGAAAAATATATATTTTGTGTAGGCCTAAGCAACTGAAAAGTAACAAATAATTCAGAAGATTACAGTCCTAATAGTATTTACTCACATCTATAAAATAACATTAGATCATGGAATACATAAGCACTATACAATGAAAAACTGTCATTCTAAAAAGACAGTGAAAAGAAAGAAAGGAGAGGACTTGAGGAAGGGAAAGA